GGCGGTCGTGTACCGGGGACCCTCCGGCCGCCGCGCCTCCGGAATCACGGTGTGTCCGCCGGCCCGGGCGTGAGTCTCTGGGAAGGGGCGATTTCCGGCGGCGCGTCGCCCGGACGCTGGGGCGGACACCTGGGGGGGGGGGGGCGGCCGGGGGGCCGAAGGGACTGCGCCGGCCGGGCCGTGGCGGGTGGGTTGGCCTGGCCCACCCCCCTCGGCGTCCGTCTCCCCCACTCCCGGGGGCCTCACCTGCGGGAAGCCCCCCTCCCCGCCGCCCCGGGGACCCCGGAGGCCCGGGTCTGCCTGCGCTTTGGCCTTCTGCCCTCCCCGCCCGAAGAAAGTTAAGAAACGGACCCGCGGTGGGTTCTGCGCGTCGCCTCGAAGCTTGGGGTCACGGGCCGCACCTGCTCGGAATCGGGTCTTGAGCCCCGGTGTTGGGCCTCTGACCTCGGACCCCTGGTCTGCTTGCGTGGTAATCGGATCCATCAAAGGCTTTTCTGGCACAGAAGTCTTGGTATCCCACCCGACAGCCTCAGGATTTCCTTCGTAGGTGATTACTACTACCACGACCACCACCGCTTTTTGCTTTTAAGGGTCGGCCGAGCCTAGTCTCCCAGTCCGCGGGGCTCTGGGTTCCCTGAAGTGACTGATGCCAATGTGATGTGTTTATGGGCATAAGAAAGGGCAGCCTTTACCTAATGAGCTTTCCTTCTCTCTCCCTCCTCCATTTTCACCCTGTCTCTGCCAAAAAAAAAAGACGTGATTTTATCATCTTGTTAATTCCCTTGTTAGCAAGATGATAAGGTTTGGCAGGTGGCCGATAGAAATTTATCTAAGACATTTTCATTTACAGTCTCTTCCCTGCCACTCAGAAATAGGAGGGAGTTAATGTGCCCAGAAAGCAGGCCGGGGTCTCAGGGGCCTGGGAGATGTTGGAGATTTGCGGGAACACCGAAGCGAGTGTGCCCCAAGCCAACCAGTTGCAAATGGGTGGCAGTTTCGTTGAGAAACCCGTGGCTCTCTGCTTCTCTTCAGACCAGGAGGCCCCGGGCAAGATGCAGCTGCCCTTCCCTTTTAGACACTCTGCCCTTTCTCACCTTTCCCTCCCCCAGTGCCCCTCACTTAACCCCAGACGGAAGCTCGGGCTGCAGCCCTGACTGATCACGTCGTCTGGCAGGTGGAGAACAGATAGGCCCTAGATGGCGGCTGACGCCAGGTGGGCTCTTGTCCCGCGGCTCCCCTTGCACACCAGCTTTTCTTGGGTCATGTCCTTTATTCTCCCTTTCCCGAACTTGGCGTTATCAGCCGCCTTCCAGGTCTCCCGTCCAACCCCAAAGCACGATCTTGGCCTGAGTAAGAGGCAGAGAGAAGGTGGCCTTGCGACTTTGGGGGTGGGATTGAGACCAGAACCCAAGTTAGAACTGGCTCCCAGAAATCCAGACCAGTAAATGCTGCTAAAATGCGCCCTGTGCGAGTCTGCTGGGAATGGGGTGGGGCATGTATTGGATGGGGCGGGGATTTGCTCCGTGGATACTGGCGACAGGCTTGCGAGGAAAGAGAAAAAACCGTATGGGGGAAGGATTTTGAGAGCTGTGCCGAACCTCACAGGGAATCTCACCCGGGATGTGCTCTAGGTCAGTAGGGTCTTAGCACTCGCCCCTCCTGCGTTAATGTGCCGGAGCTGTGTGACAAAATGCCACAGGCCGCGTGTCGGAAACAACAGAAATGTATTTTCTCCCAGTTCTAAAGGCTGGAAGTCCGGCATCAGGATGTTAACAGCTTTGGTTTCTTCCTAATCCTCTCTCCTTAGCTTGGATGGTCACCCCTCTGTGTTGTCTGTGTCCCGATCCCCTCTTATAAGGACAGGAGTGCTGTCGGGTCAGGGCCCACCCGTACGTCCTCATTTTACCTTAACTGCCTTTTTAAAGGCCCTGCCTCCAACTGCAGTCACAGTGTGAGGTCCTGGGGGTCAGGACTTCTACCTATGAATTTGGGGGGGGGGTGCAAATTCAGCTCACTTCTGGAGACTCAGATGGATGTATCACATATCCTGTTGACACAGTTTGGAGAATCCCCAGCAGTGCATCTCCCAGAGGATTATAGCACAGCTGCTTCAAAGTCGGCGTTAGCAGGTTTCTCCTGCCCATGAAAGCTAGGATTTACTCTTCATTTGACCATTAGGTGTTTTAAGCTATTTCTGCCAGTTAATTTAAACTTCCTAGGTCTCTTGCTAATGGAAAAATGCACATCTTCGTAGCTAACAGAAGCATTTTAAGGAAAGGATGTTGCCTCTCCCCCGGGGGCTGCTGAGGGAGAGAGAGCCTGGACGTTGCGGAACAATCAGTCTGGTTAAATGAAGAGTTAGTTCTCCCGTGAGGTGTGCAACCTGGGAGAGAGTGATTCAGAGTCTCACTGTGTTCCTGTTCTGTTCTCTGTTACAATAGCACTTCCAAGGACAAAGCTGTATTCACAAAGGGGGACTGTTAAATTCCTAAAGCTTGAAACATTGTTGCCCTGTCTTGATCATTTCTTGCCCTGGAGATAGCCATGGAAAGTCCTATTTCTGGATTCCCGCAGTTACAACATTAGGTAGATTTATCTGCCAGCCCATAATAGTTCTTCCCTCTGACATACACGATGGAATGTTTGTCGCCTGTGAATTCTATATTTTATTGTCTGACAAATTATTTCTTCTTGTTTTAATTCTTAAAATATGGGGGGGGGGGTTGTTTTGTTTTTTTGAATCAGTAGACTTCATTTTTTTTTTTTAAGAGCAGTTTTAGTCTTTCAGACAAATTGAGCAGAAAGTACAGTTTCTCCTATTATTAAAGTTTCTCTTCTTATTAACAACTTGCACTGGCGTGGTACATGTGTTACAATCGATGAGCCAGGATTTCCACATAATTACCTGAAGTCCACAGTCTACATTCGGCCTCTCTCTTTGTATACAGTGGAGTTTTGCTAAATGCCTAATGTCGCTTATCCACCATTACGGTAACATACAGAATGGTTTCACTGCCCTCAAAAGCCCCCTGTACGCGGGGAGCCTGGGTGGCTCGGTGGGTTAAGCGTCCGACTTCGGCTCAGGTCATGAGTTCGAGGCCCGCATTGGGCTCTGCGCTGACAGCTCAGAGCCTGGAGCCTGCTTCGGATTCTGTCTCCCTCTCTCTGCGCCTCCCCTGTTCATGCTCTGTCTCAGAGATGAATAAACATTAAGAAAAAAAATTTTTTTTAAATAATTATACCAGGACAACAGGGATAAACCCAGTCACCCTAGCACCAGACCAAATGATTTTCATGCCAAAAAACATCTCTCAACGTTGGTCCCTTCATCTTAAGAGCAGCTGTCTCCCTGCCTGTCCCTCTCCAGGCACACGGTCACCACACGCAGCGTTAGCCTGTGGGATCTCTAGCCTCCTCAATTATTTTCTTTAAAAATCATTTTCTGTGTTGCGCCAGAATTTGGGTTAAAACACACACACACACACACACACACACACACACACACACACCTTTTGTTCTCTAAGAATTGTTCAAGCATGTCTTTAGTGGTGCGTTTGGGAGAGGAAATAAAAAGAGGATAAATTAGGCCTAAGTTCACGGAATGTCTGGGGACGCGTGTCCTCGGGTGAGGGCGGGCGAGTCCCCCGGACCAGCAGACCCATGCTGCGCTTCTGTGGCAGCAGGGGCTTCGTGACCCTCAGGAATTTAGAATATTTAGAGGCGGGCGAAGGGCGCTGCAAGGGGAGAGAAGGGTCCTGCTAATTTCACATTAGCTTTTCACTGCATTGCTGTTCAGCATGAGAATACAGCTGTCCCTCCTGTTCATATCCTTCCCTGGTCCCAAAGTCCCTTACCAGGTCCCAAGGGCAATACTGACTGATCCGGGCACTTTGGCTCTTTCTTCTTCATGCTAATATATTTCTCCCTCTATTGCACAAGGAGGAAGGGAGAAACAAAATTTTCAGCGGCTCTGGTCATGGTGAAAAAGTGGGGAGAAAAATGGCTAATTTGATACTTTAGCACGATTTACAGGGGGGTCCTTTTGTTAGCCAAGGAACATAAAATCAAAACCAGGTTTGCTCAAGGATCAGGTTTGCCCACGAAGTATCTAGATAGTGAGGTCCAGCAGAAACAACACAACAGAACTTTGGAGCAGTTTAGGGACAAGGTAATTTTTTTTTTTTTCCCTCAAAACGCTGTGGAGTGGGGCAGGGCAGAGGTTACAGAATTCCCCAGGAAATGGTTCAAGGGTGGGGGGTGGGCAGAGGTCTGAGCCGCTGGACTTGGCCTAAAGCTTTAAAAGAGTTCCCATGCCACTTGGGAATGGCAGCCACAGCCCCGGGTCCTAATTACCCGACCCCAAATAAATCACCTTCTGTTCTGTGTGCTCCTGTCCCACCCCCAGTCCAAGGAAGAGAGTGCTACCTCACCCCTTCCTCTGGACCCCCACCCCGTCTCCAGCCACCGGCTCTTTCTCGACTCCCTTCGATGTGGCTCTTGTCCCGATTTTTACCTTTATCCCTTATTTTGTTGTCGTTGTTGTTTTCTGTTTTGGTTTTACTACATGCTTGCGGTGTAGACATGCCATTTGGCTGTATGCTTGTCAGTGGATCTATACTGTACGTATTTGGCAATCCGTTGTTTTTGCTCAACATTACGTGCTTGAGATTCATCCTAATCTCTTCGTTTCTGCTGCTGACTCGCGTTCCTTTGCAGTGATGCTAATAATGGATTGATCTCTTCTGCTACCGAAAGGCCAGTGGGTGGTGTAGAGGTTCGTGAACATTCTCATAGGGGTTGCCTGTGTGCATCTCCAAGAATTCCTCTGGGTAAACACCCAGAAGTGAAATTGCTTTTCAGGATATTTTCAAATTTAATACACTAATTTACACACAAATAAACAGCACAGCCCAGCAGTGCATGATGCTTTGATTGTTCCACATCTGCTGGGCGCTTGATTTTGTCAGGCCACTTAGTTTCCACCAATTTGATGGCCGTGAAATGTCAGCGTGTCTTTCTCTGTGTTACTAGTGAGGTTGGGCATACTCGTACGTGCTTATTCACCATTCGTGCTGCTTCTAAGAAGTTCTTGTTAACACTTTTGCTCATCGTTTTCAATTTTTCATTTTGCCCTTCTCTCGTGGATCTGTAGCCATTCTTTTTTTTTTTTTTTTTTTAATTTCTTAATGTTTAATTTTGAGAGACAGGGCACCACTTGGGGAGGGGCAAAGAGAGGGGGGGACACAGAATCCCAAGCAGGCTCCAGGCTCTGAGCTGTCGGCACAGAGACCCACACGGGGCTCGAACTCGTGAACTCTAAGATCACGACCTGAGCCCACGTTGGAGGTTCAACTGACTGAACCCAGGCGCCCCAGGAATTCTTTGTATATGCTGGATTCGGATCCCTGGTCAGTTCTGTGTGTTGGGAATATCTTTGCCCAGCTTGTAACTATCCTTTTACTTTTTTATACTATCTTCGATGTGTACAAGTTCTTCATTCTAATACGGTCAACCTTGAACGTTAATGTAGTTCCATCTGTCCGTCCATCCCGTAATGGCTTACACGCTTTGTGTTTGTTACAGAAATCTTCCCGGAAGCAGTGTGAGGAAGGCAGAAGCCGCCGCCCTCCCTGGCCTGGCGAAGCCACCCGCCACCATGCCCAAGAGAAAGGCAAAAGGCGATGCTAAAGGTGACAAAGCCAAGGTGAAGGGTGAGCCGCAGAGGAGATCTGCGCGGCTGTCTGCCAAACCCGCTCCCCCAAAACCGGAAGCCAGGCCTCCAAAGGCCGCTGCCAGGAAGGCCGAGAAGCGGCCCAAGGCGAGAAAGGGGAAAGCAGAGGGCGACAGGGTTGGGGACAAGGCCGGGGACAAGGCCGGGAAGAACCCGGACGCTTCCACGGCCCCGTCACAGAAAGCAGAAGGCGGTGGGGACGCCAAATGAAATGTACTTTTTTCATAACTCAACTTCTAGTGACTCTGCTGTTCGAGATACTGTCTGTCTTCAGTCATCTTTTATAAAAGCGTAGAACTTGGGCTCTGATTTCCAACTTCCGCCGTTGGCATACAAGACGCCATTGTTGTTGTCCCCTGTGGAAAGCGCAAATCCCGCTGACAGGATGTCTCCGGGGCCCGATTGAAATGGGGGGAGATGGCGCCGCGTGTCCTCCCTGTTGAAGATTATTCTCGGTTCCCGGGAGGGGTCTCCTGTCAGCCCCCCCGGGCTCAGAAGCCTTCCGGCATGGAGAAGCAAAACCTCATGGCTTCTCTCCTGAGGCGAGCAGCATACACTGGCCTTCCTGGAATAGTCATGACGCGGCCTTGGCACCCCCAGCCTCCTGTCGGGTGATCGCACTCAGGCCTTCCGGCCGTAACAGCAAGATGGCGTTGCCCCAAAGAGCCGGATCCCTGTGTGTAGTTGGCGGGCGATCCCAGTGGCCATCCTGGACTTTTTAGCTCCTCTCCCCCACGTCAGAGTTGACCCGTGAAAAGATCTCACGTACCTCATGCGAAATATCCACGCCTCCCGAGAACGTCACCTTTTCAGAAGAGCAACAGAAGACTGTTGACTTGGGGGGGGGGGCGGGGGGGGGGAGTTTGAATGTTGTCGGGTGTTGTGTGGATCGATTGTCACCCGTGTCCTCCTGGAAGTGGCTGGTCCTGAAAAGTACCTTATAAAAGCTGAATACGTCTTAGCCTGGTGGGAGGGGGATCATTTCCTACCCACAGCCCTAGAGATGTTCTTTACTGCACCTTAAACATGGTTTTACGTTTCACACTTGTCCGCAGTCTTCTCTGCACTGATCGGCGTGCAAAGTACGAGATAGAAGTTCAATATAATATTTTGTCCGGGTGGATGAGCTGTGGTCGTCGCTGCACCATTTTCTGAAGAGTTCATTCCTTCCCATGGATCCGGAACACCAGCTCTTTCGAAAATGGAGTCTCTTGGGGGTGGGTGGGTGCGGGGCAGGGCGGGTGTGGATTCTCTTCTGACTCACTGGTCAGTTTGCCCAACCCCACGGCAGTGCAATATAGTCCTGAGCACTACAGCTTTTAGAAAGAGGTCTTGGTATCTCAGGACAAATCTCACCTCCACCTCCAAAATAAAGTCTCCACCAAACTTGTCTTCTTCGGGAGCATCGTGGCCATCCTCAGCCGTTTGCTAACGGCTTTTAGAATTAGATTTGCTACAACTTTTAGAATTAGATTGATCAGTCCTTTTATTTTTAAATTTTTTTTAATGTCTATTCATTTTTGAGAGACAGAGAGAGACAGAGTGTGCATAGGGCAGGGGCAGAGAGAGAGGGAGACACAGAATCCCAAGCAGGCTCCAGGCTCTGAGCCGTCAGCACGGAGCCTGATGTGTGGCTCGCACTCACGAATCGCGAGATCATGACCTGAGCCGACGTCGGACGCTTAGCCGACTGAGCCACCCAGGCGCCCCTAGATTGACCAGTTCTAAAACAAAACAAAAATGCTGGAATTTTTATTGGACTTATATTGAATTCATAGACTAATTACAATGTTGAGTCTTCCCTTGAACATGATGTAGCTCTTCATTTATTTAACCTTTTTAAGTGTCTTTCAATAAAGTTTTATAATTTTCTCCATAAATGTCTATTGTTAATATTTCCTAGGGACTTTATACTTTTTGATGCTATTTTTGTGGGATGTTTTTAGTTCCTGCATTTTCTAGCTAGTTGATTTTCGTATCCAGCATCTTTGCTGAACTCTCATTCGTGTAATATGTGTGTATATTCTTTTGGGCTTTCTACATAAGTAAACCATATGTTGTGTATATGCAAACAGTTTTGCTTCTACACAATGTTATTCCCTCTTTTACTCTTTCTAACGCTGGGCATCGTCCAAGTTGCTAGGGGCACAACAACGAACAAAACAAAGGCAGCTTTCGCCAAGCTTCTATCCTGGGGGGGGGGGGGCGCGGCATAGAAAATACCCAAACTTGTGTGACGAGGGGCCTTAAAAGTGGGTGCTATGTAGATAGGGTGGTTGGGGAAGTCCTCCCTGATGAGGATGACACCTGAGCGGAACCCTTAATGAAATAAAGGAACAAGAGAGGTAGGTCCACAGGAGGGAAAAGCGTTCCAGCAGAGGGAACGGCATAATGCAGGCAGGCGGTGAAAATGTGTTTGGCTGTTTGGCTCTCTGAGGGAGAACAAGGAAGCAGAAGAGGAATTGGAAAGAGGGCGGACAAGAGTGTCTCTGAACATTATGGGATACTGTTAGAGTTTCAGACAGAGAAAAGCAATCTGAGTCGTGGAGGGGGGTGTGGGGGCACCCATGTGTGGGCAGGCAATAGGCTGTAAGGGACGGACAAAAGTTGGAGGAAGATCCGCTAAATGGCTGTCACTGAGTAGCATGAAACTATTTTATCAAGCTGTCTTACTGTCTGTCCTCCTGCTCAACTGTCCCCACCTCATTTTGCTTGGTAACCAGCAAATATGTATCTGTGCCTTCTCTTTGCCAAGCAACAGATGGGGATTAAAGAAAAACATGCCCTGTCCTCAGAGTCCAAAGTCAAATGCAGTGAAGTCACCACACGGTACTGTGCCCGGTGTGGGGCTAATGCCGCAGAAGATCCTGACCGTGATGCCAGAGCAGGAAGGGGTCCTGGGTTGTTTTGACACTTAAGCAGCAAAATGAAAACAGGAGTTAGTCAAGCAAGAAGTCCTTTAAGCAAGAAGGAGTGGGGGAAAGAAAGCCTTCTAGAAAGAGCAATGACATTTGCAAAGAGGTTAAGAGAACATGGTGCATAGTAGGTGGTCAATAAATTGTTGAATCCAAAGAATGATTTAAATGCATCACCAAGTAAATTCTAGCAGGGTTTTTTTTGTTTTTTTTTTACAGTAAGGAAGTTCTCAAGTGCTCACTGTTTGCCAAACACTGTGTCCAGTGATTTCCATGCGTAAGTTTATTTCCATGACCCTATGAGCTGAATATTATTATCCCCATTTTACTTTACACTTAGTGACACTTGAGACAAACAGATTAATTTGCCTTGAGGTCAGACAGTGAGTGGTAAATTCCATATTAAGACCCAGGTCTACAACTCGGGGGGGTTAGAAAGCCCCTCATTGTTGGAAAGATCAGCGGTATAAATTTCAAATGTAATCCATCCAGTTTCTGAGTAAATTAAGGAAATTGCCCAAGATACCACTAGAAAACAATCAAATGCAAGCTATCCACATGCTAAACAGTTGTGATTTCCAGCGAAGACAGGCAGTAATGAAAGGACACTAAATTCCAGGGGGATGTACTGCGTTTTTTTTTTTTTTAATTTTTTTTCAACGTTTATTTATTTTTGGGACAGAGAGAGACAGAGCATGAACAGGGGAGGGGCAGAGAGAGAGGGAGACACAGAATCGGAAACAGGCTCCGGGCTCTGAGCCATCAGCCCAGAGCCCGACGCGGGGCTCGAACTCACGGACCGCGAGATCGTGACCTGGCTGAAGTCGGACGCTTAACCGACTGCGCCACCCAGGCGCCCATTGTACTGCGTTTTTAAAAATGCAGGATCGTGTTCTGATGGAGCCGAAGGATGGAACCCACGAACAAGGTTAAGAGCGGCACAGGCACCACATTTATTAGGGCGAGAATGAAACAAGACTCCCGCTACCCACTACCCGGGAGGGGCTCCTTACAGAGGAGGCCTGTTTAGACAGTCCTCAGTGTATCAGGAGGGACTTTATCAGCCTGGTTAGTGGCCAAACACATTTTACAAGAGGCCTTAAAATCCGGGGCATGATTTAGGGCCATTCACAGCTGGGTATGGGGTATCTCAGTCTATTTGCTTGGTTTCCTGCAGGAATGATAATTTCAGTAGTCAGTAGGGGCCCTGATGAAAAACCGTAAAGACAGAAACCCATCAGGGTCTAAGAGACGTTCCAACACATGTCGTCCTTACAGCGACTTCCCTAGGAAACAGTCCCCAGTTGGGATCTAATTTAATCATGCACGGACTGGTTTCGGCCGGCTCTGAGTGGCGTTCTCTGGGCCAGAGGCGGCTAGACCAGGGATCTGGAGGGGCCCACATTAGACCAACGAGGAGGAAACCTCGCAAGGGAGTCTTAAGAGTGGCAGCCGTCCTGGTGACTTAGGCGGCTGTCCCACGCCCAAGACGGACAACTTGCTATAAGGACAGGAATAAAGAGAGGGCATCAAGTTTCTGGTCTTACCATTCCTGCCAGGGTACTAACCTCCAGCCAAAAGGCAGCCTTTCTCCTCCCTGCGGAGGAGCCACGGGCACCAGAGGCCTGCAGCCTGAGCAACTGACATGAAACTGTTCCTCCAAAAGCCCCTGAAATAAAAGGAGCGAGGAGAGGAATTACCAAGTTAGCGCTGGGGCTCAGAGTCCAGATGAAAAAAACTCAAAGCCCCACGTAAGGGCGCGACAGTGATAAAATTATAAAGTGACGTTCATGAGCAAATGGCTGAGAAAGAATTCTTGAGGTGTTTTCTGGTGGAAAAAGGTGCTTTTACTACAGCAAAGGGACAGGACCCAGGGGGCAGAGAGGGCTGCCCCGGGGGGTTGTGAGGAGTGACTGGTTACACACTTTCAAGTCAGTGGGAGTGAGGATAAGCCAGTCTCTGAGGAATTTGGAAGCAAGGTTTCAGGACGTTGAGGGGCAGCTGCTGTTAAGATAAGGTTGCTTTTCGTCTTTAATGAAACAAAAACATGAAGGCAGCAGGGGGGCCATGAGGTCCTCAAGGTCACGGTCTGCACATCTAGCAGTCGGCTGCCAGCGGCAAGGAGATTTAAACTGCATTTCTCGGGGCGCCTGGGTGGCGAGTCGGTTGAGCGGCCGACTTCAGCCAGGTCACGATCTCGCGAGATCTCGCGTGATCTCGCGTGAGTTCGAGCCCCGCGTCAGGCTCTGGGCCGATGGCTCAGAGCCTGGAGCCTGTTTCCGATTCTGTGTCTCCCTCTCTCTCTGCCCCTCCCCCGTTCATGCTCTGTCTCTCTCTGTCCCAAAAATAAATAAAAACGTTGAAAAAAAATTTTTTTTTAAAAAATAAACTGCATTTCTCTCGCCTTCGTTTCCCTCATCAAGTGGTCATATGGAATTTAGAATTTCCGCGTATCTCTAGCACCACAAAGCTAGAAAGGGTTATTTATTATTATTTTTTTCTGTACAAAGAGGCTAGGGTCTTAGCCAAATATTTCGAAGCGGGGAGAGCAAATTAGGAAATAATATATCAGCCCTGAAACCTCTCTGCCCACTTTTCCTGTCTGCAAATTCCTCAATTAACACCCTGGTCCGTGCATCTTTTGAGCATGTGGGTGTCTGACACCAAATAGACGGAGCGATCCAGAGTTTTCCGGAATGACAGTTCTGACCCTCGAAAGTGCGTCAATGGTCCTGGCAGAGCTAGAAAGCCGAAGGAGGGAAACGTACTTTCCTGGATCCACCCCTGTCCCTCCCAGTTCTGTTACGGGCTGAACTGGGAAGACCCCGGGGCCTGGGGCCTCCACCCACTCACCCACCCCTGGGGTGAACTGGGAAGACCCACCCAAGGAGTCCCCGAAGGGTATTGGTCTTGTCACAAGAAATTCAAGGACAGGCGTGCAGCACAACCAGCCACACAAGCGGGAAAGTTTATTAAAGGGAAAAGTAACGATCTCGAGACACCAGAGCAGGCGGCTCGAGAGAGACAGAGACAGAGAGAGACAGAGACAGAGAGGACAGGCGCCATCCCCGAGGGGTTGGGTTCCCCTCCCCCATGTTTCACCGCCGGTTGGGAACCGGGGGACAGAATGTTCAGGACTCCTCTCTTGCTCAGAGCCTCCCGTGCTGGCGCCGCCACCCGG